ACCTGGAAAGCCAAACACTGAGACGACGGGATTGCAGCAGACAGAGAGTTTTAAGCACAAGGCAGCCAAGTGAGGTAACGGAAGAACGAGTCTCAAATCCGTCTCCTCAAAAAATGGGGACTCAGGGATATTTATGGAGTAGGGGACAAGGTGGTCTGAAATGTGGAGATAGATGATTGGAGGTGAGGAGAGGTGAAGTAATTGATGATCTGTGCAAGCGTAGTCAAACTTTATGCCTCTTCATAGGACGCATGTTCACAAAATGGTGGCATTAGCATAATCTGGAGTGGAATTTTTAGCCTCTTGACATCAAAAGGTCACTTATCGGGCATCTGTGAGGGCCTAGTTGATGAGTGGGTGGTCTCAACAGACCTGAACTGGACAAGGGGGTCCTAATTCCTGAAAAAGACCCATTACCATGGTGACCCAGGCACCAGGGAGATGTTATCTGTAGGAACCTAGTGGGAGTCAGCATATTGCCTAAGCAGCACAGCTAACAATGGGCAGGTGAACAACTACAAGCTATAATCAGTAACTGCAAAAAAGAAAAACGACTTTAGTTAATAGCTACCGAATCATCAATGGCTGTTTACTGGTTTCAGAAGTAGAAGTATTCTAAAATTATTTAGAATTATGGTGGTAACCATCAGAAGAATTAGGATGAAAGTTAGAAACAGTTACTTCTGGGGAAGATTTAGGACAGGCAAGACTGAGGGAAAATTGCACTTTTCAAGTGAAACCCTTCTGTACTCCTTGCATTTTTCTACCCTGTGTAGCTGCTACGTTTATAATAAACACATATTTAAGTAAAACACAGAAGAAAGTGACATGAACTCCCCTTCACTTTGTTGCCTTTGCTCTTGAAAACTAAACAAAAGAGGAAAAAAAAATCAGCATTTGTATTAGCATGCATCAGCTCATTCTCTCCACCAATATTCACTAAGTGCCTAGTGCCTGCCACGCGCTGGGTGAAGTGCTGGACCACAGCCATAAAATCAGACCGGCTCCCAGGAGCTTACATTCTAAACCTACACACCACCACTGGGCGCTCCCTACCTCTTCTAAACAACTCTGCACCTCACAGGGCTCACAAGAATGAGAGCATATATGGTGAACAATGCAAAAATGCAATCAGAAAAAGGCCAATCTGGTAATAGTTTATCATTTGATACATAAACTGTAACTTGATACTAAAATTAGAAAACCAAATGATTATAATTAACAGTAATATAGCTGCGTAGCTTAATAAGCATTCTGACACCTCATTCAATCCTTACAACTCTGAAAAGCAGATTCTGTCCCCCTGCCTGTTTGAAAGCTGAAAACACAGAAGCTCCAAGTATGATTTACTTGGCCAGGGTCACCAAACTAGTAAATGAGAGAACTAGAGCCTGTATTTAGTCTTCCTATATATAATAATATATATTATTATAGTTCATTATATACGAAATAATTATCCAATATATAGGTTCCTTTATTTCTTAATTATATAATATATACATGAAATACAGTCAGTACATACATTTTCCTTATACTATAATACCGGTCTCTAAGTAAATTTGAGCCTAATGATTTTTTTAAAGTTCAATCTGCATTTGAGTATCTATCGTAACTGAGGAAGACCTAAATGCTTTATAAACGCTATTAGGTGTCCCCACCATATTTTGGCAAAACTTAAACACAATCTTCATTGAAACAAAACTGAGTGAAGAATACTGATAATTAATGGCCTACAATGCTTAAGAAATAGTCCCAATTTTCACAAATAGCTAAGAAATTATAGATTCACAATTATTTCAAGATAACCCAATACAGCCTTTCATTAAATTTACTTTGACCCTGCCAGATTTATGGTTCTTCTATAAGCTTTGAGATTGGGGAACATTCAAAAGCAAGAGACGATAGCATTAACCATCCAGAACATCTTCCCACTGTCATTCTTAAGCTGCCACTCTCTTTGATGTGCACTGTGCAGGTTATCCCCAATCTGGTCTCCTAGTAACAAGATGGAGAGGATAGTGAGAGAGGCTTTCACAATTCACAACTATCTTACTGTCAGACCCAGGCCAGTTTAAGACAATATAGCAGTTCATTAAGATTCTAAATTAGAATTTGAAATTAACTACAAAATTTGATAGCTCATCGCTGGAAACAAATGAAATGAAAACCTATTCTTTTTGTGGCAGTTTTACTCTACTATGCTAAGCCCTTTAGAAAGAGGAAGTTTTAATTTAATTCCACAACTACAAAAACACAACACTGTCTAACAGTGGTTCTCGTGATGCTTTGGTCCCTCAGCAGCTCTTTTCCAGCAGGGGGGATTCCGGGAAGGAACACTGACATCTTGCAGACAAGCATGAGACCTGTGCCTTACACACAGAAGAAATACATGACTGACCCTTTCTCAGAAATATACAATGCATATTTTCATCTAATTTTACTGAAAGCAACACAAAAGGAAGAGCTACAGAAGAGTAGTGAGAATACAGTATTGCCACAAAACCAGTGTTGGATGGTGGATAAACACTGAGTGAAGGAGATGAATAGGTTTTAATCTGCAGTTAGGATGCTGAGAATGAGTCTGTGATCTGAAATATCTGCAATATGCTGAGCAGCTTTTAATGGCTGCCACAGCCTCAAAACAGCATCACCTGTCCTCTTGAAAGCACTAACTGGTCAGCTCTTATCAATATATGGGCTCAGATGATACTTGGTATGTATGTTACTTTGTTAATTCAGGAGTCTGACTCAAAGAGGGTCTACCATGGTTTAAATAAAGGATAAAAAGTAGACGATTAGCAAGGAAAATTCTATAGCTAAGGAAATGGGGGCAGGGGAGAGTAACATGCATTCCAGCCTAGAAGGGTGATGACAGGTGCAAGTGACGCCAGATATAATATAGGATTCTAAACATCTAAAATTGATACAGAATCTATCTTCCCATTGTAACTGACAGAGAAACTAGGCTTGGTTTTTGGCTTCAAATAATTATATAACACCATTAAAACTCACAGAACTCTGAGTATTCTTCTTCCCCAAGCTTTGCTGGACCCAAGTATTACTGAAAATAACACAGTCCTCCATAACACTTCATGGTACCAGGCTCTTTCGGATATTTTATTTCATTAAAAGACCAATGATCCAGTTCAAAAGGTCTTTGGCTCTGAAATCCTGGAAAAGTCAATCTATCTGGCTCTCTGCTTCCTTGATAAATAACTGAGGCTGACAATTTGGCTGAATATACTAATTAATATTTCATAATCACCAGCTCCAACAGTACTAAACACTTCACAAGCATAAACTCACTGAACCCTCACTATGAGAAGTACTGTTATTACTCCCATTTTATAGCAGAGGGAACTGAGGCGCAGAGAGGCTAAGTAACTTGCCCCAGGTCCCAAAGCTAGGATAATAAAATGACCTGCTATACCAAGGTCTGACCTAGGATGCAATAACTTTGCCCAAACTGAGTGTGAATGGTGAAGATGCAAGTCTTCTTATATGGCCTGTCAATGAAATAGGTGATCAATAGTCAAGGAGAAAAGAGACGCTTCTTTCAAAACAAAAAGGCTTTTCAAAATCCTTTTAGAATTATTGGCTCAAGATTTGGCCTAATTTCACAAAACCAACAACGCAACACCTCTTCACAAAAAGGAATGTTCCCCTGAAACAAGCATCAAGGACTGTAATGCCTTCCTCCTCTGTCTCTTCCAGGGAAGCACATCCTGGCTTGAAATACGCTGTGACATTAAGATCACCTCCTGGCTTGAGGTACCATAACACTCAATTTAATCTGAATAAATTTAAATGTTTTGTGAATCGGAGAAATAATCTATTTTTAAGGATAGCATCAAGATTAGGCAGCGTTCCTTATGTAGTCATTACTTTGAAAAGGAAAGAAACTTAAAATTCACTGCTATATTCCAAACCACACATCACATGAGAAGTACGGAAACCAGCTGGGATAAATGCCTTCTGAGAGGTTCTTGAGGACAAGGACTCTTACGTTTATGCATCTTTGCATCCCGTACTACTGTGCACTGCATGAAACCTGCATTTAAGCATTTCCAGCAGATGCATCAACAACTGTAAAGTATTATAACCAAAACAACGAACGTGGCAAAACAAGCAGATTCCACGTTGAATTTGCACAGAAATAAAACTGTGTCTAATCATGGTATGGTTAAGTATGGGCCACCGGTGCTTCTCAAGAACGAGAACACGCTCTTGGTGTCGACAGAGGATCTTTTGCTTTCAAAAGGAAAAACAAAAACCACTACGAAATTTCTGTCTCTCATCCTAAACAGCTGAATCATTCATTCAACCGTCCATAATTCTTCCAACAACTGCCACTGCAGGCTCTGCTTCTGGGGAAGTCCGAATTTAAGACCTTCCCTAGAGAGCAGGGAAAAATTATAGAAAATTAACGGGATTCCCCCAAGGACGCTGCCTTCAACAGGCGCCGCCTCATCCATAACCAAACAGGAGGCCCTGGCCACGACACCAGTCTCCGGTGAAGGAAAAATACTATGCCGAGAAGACGCATTCGTTCACCCACGACAATTCACCAAATGCCCACTCGGCGCAAGGCACACGGCCCCTGACCGCTGGAACGGGGACGCCGCGGCCACTTGCCCCTCCGCGGGGACGCGCCCAGACGCCCCTCCGGCGCCCGCGGGGCCGCCTCACGCCCCCCGACACCGGGCCCCGAGCAACGCGTCCAGCCGCCGCCAGAGGAACACCCCGGCCGGGCACGGCGGTGAGGGCCCGCGCACCCCCGGCTGCCGCGGGCCCGCGAGGCCGGGGACCCCCGCACCGAGGGGGACAGCGCCGGGCCGAGGAGCTGGGGGGGAGCTCTGGGGCCCTGGAGGGTGCGTGGGGCTGAGGGCCCCTGGGGCGTTCTGCGGGATCCGGGGGACCCCAAGGGAGGCGCGGGGGGCAGCCAGCCAGGGAGGGGCCCGGGACAGAGACCCTCAGGGCACGCGCGGTCTGGCGCTCACCCAAACAGCCCTCGGAGGAAGGAGTGGGAGGCCTTGACTCGCTTCTCAGCCTCCGCCATCAGCTGCACCGCCTCACGCTCCTTCCCCGCGTTGTCCATGTTGCCCGCCGCCGCCGCCGCCACCAAAACCTCCTCAGGCGGCTTGGACGCGGCGTCCAACGCTTCCCTCGCCTCTCGCAGCGGCGGGGAGCGCAGGCGCGGCGCGCGGCCTGACGGGATTTGTAGTCCCGGGTCTGGAGGCGGGGAGCGCAGACGCGGCCGCGCGGCCTGACGGGATTTGTGGTCCCGGGTCTGGCGGCAGCGAAGCTCGCCGGTCGACTACAGTTGCCAGCTCGCCACAGAGCTGGGCGTGGTGGGAACCGAGCGTGGAGACCGCGGGCGCCCGGGCAGTGTGACCCTCTGTAGGGGTCCTAGGCCAAGGTAAATTTTAATCGTTTAGGTATGCGGGAAATGGAAAATGACCCCTGGCTTCCAGTAATCATCAACTCAAATACGCAGCATCACGTTGGTTCAAAAATCCCTGCTCGTCAGGATTGACACATGGCAATGGGATGGATGAGGAAACGGATAACAGATTGGAACGCTCAACCTATGCCCCAGCTCTGCAAAGGAGCTAAAGCAGCCTCCGAAAGCAATTTTATTAACCTTGTGATGCCCACGCACTCACCAGCAACAGCTCGCAGAAACAGCCATTTTTATCTCCCGAGCAAGACGTTTAAGAATATATCATTTTCCCTAGTATGAATTCAGAGTTAGTTTTCAGTCTCCCCATATTGTACCTTTCTGTCTCTCCTCTCTTCTTTGGTTGTTAATGAGTTGCATTAATGACCAATCTACTCTTTTTATTGACTGAATTCTTTTCAATGGATGTGAGCCATTGAGCTCTCTTATCCTTTATATAATGGTGACCATAGAGAGTGCATCTCCTGGGATGCAATTCCTGCCTGCCAGGAAGACGTCTAATTTTCTAGGAGAAGTATCCATAGATAGATGCTCTCGGGTTCTAAGGATTTCCAGGCCTGTCCCAGAGGGAGTTATTTTTTAATACAAACTCTAGACCATTTACATTGGCAATACTAAAGCAGAGGTGGTGAAGCAAATATGAAAATCACTGCCAAATGAGAACTTGTGACAATTTCAAACTATTAATAAATACACTGTGGGCTCTGGCACACAAAATATATCTAAGAAAATGAATCCTGTCTTTAGACAGCAAGGGAAGAGGGCCAGCTCCTAGAAAGAAAGGTAACTAAAGCACGTGTCACAGAGTCCACGCATTGCAGGCACTCTAGAGAGAGAAGGAAGTCTCACATCTTCAGGCAGAGTTTATTTACTCTTACTACATGCATTATTCTAACTTCCAAAAGCTATGTGTGTGCTTTTGGAGCAGTATGGGGGAAGAAGGAGGCAGAAAATTAAAGGTGGCAGTGATACTGAACCTCTTAATCTCCAGTTTGTGTGCCCAATGTGAAATAAGCCGATCACTCAGACACCAGTGCTTAGAGATGGAGAAAGTTTTATTTGAATGGGCCAAAGCGAGAAGGCAGGACAATGGATTCTCTCAGATCCACCTTAACAAAAGAAGAAAGCAGGGGGTCTTTGTAGAGCTAAGAGGCTTGGCAGGAAGAATTTTAGAGAAACAAAGGGGAAATCCGTGTTTCTTTCACTCCAGATAAGTCTTTGGGCAGCTGGACTTCTGGGTGTCAACAGCAGCTGGGGCCTGGTTATCTGGTGATCGTAACCTCCTTAAAGACATTGTTTTTCTTCTGCAAGACAAGTTCATAAATCCTTGTGACCCTTGAGTCACCCCTCAGGTTAAACAAGAAAACAGCAAGCTGGCAAGATTAACTTCTTTTCATCTATGTCTGTGTTGGGAACAAGATCGAAGGGTAGTCATGATCTTATTGAATATTTACAGTAACCCTCAGGTACCCGGCTTCAGCAATAAATGCAGGAGTAAGGAGATAAACTGCAAAAAGTGGACATCAGCATTTGAAAAGCAGAGCAGTCTATGGGGATTTAATGGAGTTGGGCCAACTTGAAAGCTCCTATGAGCAGCATCAAGATGTTGATTAAAGCAGTTCCCAAAGCTGGCTCAATGCAAAAACTCTAAAGGATGTTCAAGAAATACTGATTCCTAAGCCACCAGCTTTTTGTATCAGGATCTCCTGGAGTTGCGGTCTAAGAAGTGCACATATTAAAAAGAATTCTCCACCACTATTCTAAAGCATACAATTTTAGATTCTCAGATCTATAGTCAGCTTAAAAGGAGGTAGAATGGACTGTCTCCTCTAAGCTAGAACTTGCAACTAAGGGTGGCAGGAGTACATCTCGATGTTTTTGATATTTCTGGGTATTTCCCTCATTTTCTTTATCATGGGCACTCCTCCTGTTCCCCCGATCCATGCTCAGTTGGGAGAAAAACTTCAAACCTTAATTATTGTGTACAGCGTGTGTTTTCTTCTCCCAGAGTCTAGGTGAGGGGATTTGGCAAAGCAGAGAGACAAACCTCACAGAATAAGGACCAACTAGGGGGACAGATGAGGCATTTTTGAAGGGTGAGAGAAAAGGAGACCTGCTCTGGTGTGGACCAGGGAGGGAGTGAGGTCCTCGAGTAGGAGCTGTCCAGGAGTAGATCAAAAGGACCTGTGGCCTACACATGTGCTGACCAGGATGGTGGCCACTTGCCACAGGTGACCATTTAAATTTAAACCAAATAATATGAAATAAGGTACAAAATTTTGTTCCTCAGTCACACTAGGCACATTTCAATTGCTTGATAGCCACAGGTAGCTAGTGGCTGCCATATTGGACTGCACAAATATGGAACATTTCTGTCATTGTACGAAGTTCTGGTGGACAATGCTGGCCTATACACACCTTGCCTTTCAACGGCTCTGGACACTTGGAAGAAAAGAGGAAAAAGGCTTCAGACTGCATTTCTGGGAAGATGAGCAGGAAAGGAGGTGCCTGCACCCTGAACAAGGCAGAGCCAAGCAGAACCTGCAGGCCTTTCCTTATGAGCAGGTCAGAGTAGATGCAAAGACACTCAGACTGAATGAACGCATGAGGTTAGATTGGAATGTCGAGTGTCCAACTACCCACCCTGAGAGGTGGCCTGCAAAGGCAAGGCTGAAGCCATTTGAGAACAGCCAGCTCTAAGAGAAGCAGGGTCAGAAAAGGACCCATGGGGAAAACAAGGTGTGGCCATCTGCGTGTGTTCATAGAAGGGGGTGTGGCATGCAGAGAGTCCTGTGTGGAGTCCGGCACTGCGAGAGAGTGCAGCAGGCACAAACGCAGTGTACCTCCAGGATTGCCTGGGCTGGCCTCCTGACTGGCTAGTGCAGATGCCTAGTGCACTGGTTGAATAACCGCCATGCAGCTGAATGCAGCTGCTCACACTACTCAGGGTCCAGCAGCAGCTACCAGTTACTAAGGTCACTTAGTGTCACCCACTTCCCTTCCCTGTAATTCCAAAGTCAGTTGGAAACTGCTGATCATGACTAGCACTTAATATTCACATGCTTGCTGGTCCCAACTACTGTCACCTGCAATTCTCCTGGGGGTTCTCTTTGGCATTCCAGCCTGCTCTGCATGAACGCTGGAGGAGTAGGGGGATTAATTAGCTTTATTAATAGAGGAATTAATGCCTCTTTGTCTCCTGGGAGCAGCCCTCAATCAATGACTGTTGGGAAGTGGAAGGATAAATACCCATCTGGTGGGACAACTGAGGAATGTTCTATACTCTGTCTTAGAGGGCCCCAGTGGGAAGGAGCACCAGCTACCTACAGTAGAAGGTCATTTGTTCTATACCCTTTATTGACTTCCTTCCTTTCCCTGCCCCCACACCCCACTGGTGCTGCCTGCTGATGTCACCTCCCTATAAATTGCTTTCTCTAGACTCCTTGTCTCAAGGTCTCCTTCTGGGAGGACACAAACTAAGACAGAGAGAGTATGCGCTGAGGACCAATAGGTGTGTTCTGGTCCCCATGGGCAGTCATGGTGTTCATTACATTACAGATTCATAGATTAGCATTCTCATCCATGGATAACTGTATACTTAGGGTTCTGCTTCCCCACTTCAACTTAGTGGTGTAAAACAACAGTCATTTATTAGTATTATCGCCTGTGGTTTTAGGGGTTTTAGGGACTGGGCTCAGCTGGGGGGTTCTCAGTCAGATGGTAGCAGAGCTGGGGCCTCTTCTTCCGGCACATGCCTGGTGCCTGGGATGAGAAGACTCAAAAGGCCAGAGCAGCCACAGATCCTCGCATCACTCTCTGGTCTCTTACATGGTGGCCCGGGCGTCAGAGGTGCTGGGGGGAGGGGGAGCCAGGTGGCGGGTGGATCACCTTTATGATCTAGTCTCCAAAGTTCTGAGCCATCACTCCTGCTTCCCTGAAGCAAATCACTCAGGCTCACCCATATTCAGGGGGTGGGTCTCGAAGGGTTTACAGACATGTTAAAACAACCACAGTTAGGTTCAGGGGAGCCAGTTCCCACTCTGGTCCACTCCAGTTACATTGACAAAGCTGTGAAGCTGGAGTCTCCCTGTGGGGGCTGGGGAGCAGCCCCTTACCTCCAAGGGCCCTGGAGCCACGAGGGGCCCTGCCCGGCCTTCAGCTCCTCCTCCAATGACATCTCTGCCTCGCTTCTGTCTGCAAAATAAGAGTGGCTCAGAGGCAGCTGGACAAGGCCAAGTCTGTGCAGTGTGCTCCCCTTTAGAAGGCAGGGAAGAAAGAAAGCCATTCCAGTAGGCTCTTCATCCAAAAGCATAAAAGTAATGAATTCATGAAAATGAATGTTCTCCATTCCTGGTGTTGAGGTGGGGCTTCTGTACTTTGTGCAGCTTTAAGGACAGAATTTATTCACTCTGTCTACAGTGGTTCTTTTCCTTTTCCTCATGGACTTGCAAAACTCGAGAGCATTTGAATGGGGAACTTCAGACAAATAATTAGATAAGTGCTTTTCATTATAATTTTTTTTAACTTTTCAAAACAACATTGGTTTGTGTATGTGTGTGTGTGTGACATTACACACTATGTCAAAATTGCTACAAATATTCCCAAAGGCAGCTTTGTTAATATTATTTAACATTTCCTTAAGAAATTATCCTGTAAAATTTAGACCAAAGAATTAGAAAAGGTAAAATTAAATATACACAAATATCT